GTTGAACCAGGAAAACAACCTAGCTGTTAGAGTTCTCAAAGATAAATACTCTAAACCCAACAATCTCTTTAGGTCCTTCTCTTATGGTTCTCATCTATGGAAGAGTATGGGTAAGGGGTGGTATCTTTTTAAGAGTCGTATCCAGTGGGGAGTTGGGGATGGTGTAGATATTTTTCTTTGGAACTATAAATGGAGTGGGAGTAGCACCATTAGAAGCACGGTCCTTTACAGAGAGAAGATGAGGATATTATGGTAGACCAGTGCATTGTTGATTCGAAGTGGGAGTTCTCCAACTTGTCCTTTGTTCTTCCAGATAATATTCTCAATCAGTGTTTGAGTGTCCCTATCCTGATTCTTGAGCATAATTGTCATGATTTTATCTTTTCTGAATTTACTTCAAAAGGCAAGTTCGATTTTAAAAGGGCAATGTCTGTGTTTGATGCTGAAATTGGTTTGAATGGGGACTTAGGCTGGATCTGGAAAGTTAACACAACCCCAAAAATAAAATTTTTTATTTGGTTATGCTTTCTACCTCATAAGGTTACTCTTGCAAGAAGAAACATCATTCCCTCTGATAAGTGTGCTTGCTGTCCCAACTCCCCTGAGAACTCAACTCAATTCATATTCAATTGTGTAATACCAGTAGTTGCATAGGCCATAGGGTTAGGGGTGTAATTGTGTAACTTGTTTATATTCAAGTTCATTTAACTTAGGTGAGTCTGAGCACGATCCCGAGCTTTTAAGCGAGCTCAAAAATATGTTCAAGCTCGGCTCATTTTGCACATTATATGTTCGTGTAGAGCTGTCAATTCGGGTATTCAAGTCGAGTTTGAGTCGGGTCAAATTAGGTCTCGGGTTAAATCAGGATCAGGTTACGTCGGGTCAATCTAGCTTCAGATCAGGTTTAGGTTCAGGTCGGGTCAATTTCAGTTCAAGTTCTAACGGGTCGTTCACCTTTTCAGATATAGGTCGGGTTTAATTCAAATTAAAATAATATTGGGTTCAATTTCAGGTTCAGGTTGTGTTGAGTCAGGTTTGGATGGGTTAACAAGATGGTACATTCGGGTTCAGGTTAGTGTTGAGTCAGGTTCTGGTTCAAGTTCAATTCTAATAAATATCGATGTGGTCAAGTTGAACTATATAATTACGCCTTCCATAATTTGATCAAGCATCATCAAGATTTTATTAAACCTATATACGAGTAGTAGAGAACAAAAGTTATATAAGCTGAACAAAAGATTTTATTAAATCGGATTGAGGGTTTACAAAATTATACCAGTATATAAGCTGAATAAAAGGTATATAAAATTTTATTAAACCTTTTATGACTCGGGTTCATGTTTTAATTGGGTCGGGTACTAGTTCAGGTTCGGATTGTTTTCGGGTCGGATTAAATCGGTTGACGGTTACTATCAGGTTGAGGGCAGGTTCGAGTTCAAGTCATAAAGGAATGGATCAAATGGGTTTTCGGTCAAGATCAGTTCAGGTTCAAGTTAGGTTACAGGTCACTAGTTTCACCTTATTGTTCGAGTACAGGCTGGGTTCAGATCTTTGTCCGTTAAGGTCGTGTTCTCGGGTCGGGTCATTTTTTGACAGCTCAGCTATAATCCACATTTTTGAGGAAATTTTGAGGTTTCGGGGCCCGGTGGAAAAAAGTGTTGAGACCCTAGGGGATATATCTCGGGGTCATATAATGCTGTTTGAAACCATATATGATCATTATATGTTGTCATAAACGTACGTGGTAGACTTGAGTTTACGAAATCAATACAAGTTGTGAACGGGTAAAATGACCATTTAAGGGCATATTGGATGGTTCCACCGACCCAATTGGACACCTGGAGGGTATTAGGGACCATGGTAAACATCTCAGTAATTTTTATTTGCTGGCGAAAAAATATCAAAAAATTACAAAATTGAAGGCTACAATCCAAATTTTTTGAGGAAATTTTGAGGTTTTGGGGCCCGGTAGCGAAAAGCCTTGAGACCCTAATGGATACATCTCGAAGTCATATAATGACGTTTGAAACCATATATGTTGTCATAAATGTCCGTGGTAGGCTTGAGTTTACGAAATCGGTGCAAGTTGCGAACGGGTAAAATGACCGTTTTAGGACATATTGGATGGTTCCACCAACCTAATTGGACTCCCAAAGGGTATTATAGACTTTGGTAAACATCTCGGCAATTTTATTTCCGGGCGAAAAAAGTCAAAAAATTACAAAATCAAAGGCTATAATCCACGCTTTTTGAGGAAATTTTGTGGTTTTGGGGCCCGATGGCGAAAAGTATTGAGACCCTAGGGGATATATCTCGAAGTCATATAATGTCGTTTAAACCATATATGATCATTATATATTGTCATAAACGTCCGTGGTAGGCTTGAGTTTACGAAATCACAACACAACAATATTTGCACAAATTATGTACTACCCTGTTTCTTATTATATGTTCTTATCTCATGAGTTGAAATATTTCACTTCCACATACGAATTCTTCCTTTTTGTAAAATATTTCATCATAGTGGGGATTGGGGAACAGTATGAAGAATGTTGTGGGACCAAAAAGAAGAAAAAATAAAATGCATCTACTTTTCACATGCAAAAACTTTTGTATACACCCGATTTACACTAATTTTACTGTACATTGATCAGTATAAGGGTAACTTTTACCTAATTTTAAGGTAACTTTTTGCCTTTTTATGGGTAACTTTTAACATAATACAATTTTTATATAAATAGACAATAAGAAAAGTTTTATAATGGTAATTTAATTACATTTAATCACTAATAATTGATTTTTAGTCATTTAAAATGTGATTCTTTACTAATAATTTTTATTTGTATTGGATTACTTTTATGCATATTAGGGTAACTTTTATTTATTTTAGGGGTAACTTTTGATCAATCTAGTCTATCTTTATAGTATATGTACAATAATTATTGTACACCCGATTTTTTTTTTAAGTTTGTGTTTCACATGATGCTATTTATCTTTTAATCTCACTAAATCATTTTACATAGATTTCTTTTGACACTTAAAAAGTGATAATAAATTCGGACTTTCTCATTCGTTTCATGAATAAACAAATGTTACCAAAAAAAAATGAAAAAGACAAGAAAATGTACACATAAAGCATATATCCCCCCCCCCTTTGTTTTACAAAATGTCTATACTTAACAAGTAATTAGTACTAATTAAGACCCTAGCCAAAACCCTTACAATCCCCAAAAGTAACATGCCAAAAATAAACATGACTAGATGTAAGTTTGTAACTACAAAAGACATGGAACTTCAATTCTTAGATTAATTTAGCGAGACTAAAAGACACGAGTATTGCATGATCTTGGACTAATCCTCAATCCTTAAAATAGTGTTATCATCTTGACCTATATATTAAAGATAACAGGAACTAAATCTATGTTACAATTATTATTATTTTTTAAAAAAAAAAAACACAAAAACTAAAAATTAGTAATATTGGTCCAAGATTTGCGGGTTACGTTCAGCTGCTGCATGGGCCCCAATTTGGTTTGGTTTGCCTTTTTTTTCTTTGGGCCTATTATTTACTGATGATCGATCTAGTAGATCATCTTCTTTTTCCTTGGGCCCCAAGTTGGAATTCTAGATCTAAATCACAAGCAAGGGTACTGTTGAGGTTTGGCAACAACTAAACTTTTGCAACAACAAATATCGTAGCGAAAGTAAGTCGTTGCAGATACCTTTGGTAACGGCATCTTGGATAACGAGCAAAAGTCATTGCGAAAAACAAGAAGTTGTTGCCAAAGATATTTTTAGCAACAACTTCTTTGGTTGGCAAATAACAAATTTCTTTTATGAAACAATAATTGAGATTAAAATTGAAACAAATATCATTATTAATAGGGTTTATCACCATACAAAATGCAACCAACACAACACTAAAAAATGAAAAAACAACAGATGATGATATGATCAAACTAGCGTGAGCGTCTGAGGTGTTATAACGATAGTAAGTAACACCAACAGCGGGTTGACATTTTGTAAGATTATGAATACCAGTTTTCATACATTCACAAAAAGACTTGTACCCACAGAAGTCCATAAAACACCAGCATGTTCCGGTTTGGCACTTGTATGGCTGGCATTGGTACTTCTTCACATGTATTCTCTTGTACAATTTCAGCTCGGCTGGTCTGACCGTGTTCAAAGAAAGTAAGAAAATAACAAGGGTTATTTGGTTTAGGGTGACGTGGTTCCTTTGGTTGACGATGATCAACATTTTTATTTTTTAGTGTTGAATGTTTTTGTTGAGATTCTCTGATTAACTTTTGAATGTTGTTTATTATCATTTATAAACGCATTTTAGAAAGAGGGTGGAAAGGGCGGAATATAAATATATATTTCATGCCTTTAGCTTTTTGGTGAGATAGTAACAAAGAACGTTCGAAAATTCATTTAGTAAAACTAAATACCAAGTACTCCTTAAGAGTTAAGACTTTTGCATTTTGCCTTTTACGTACTAATTACTGTAGTATCTAATAACTTTAAGTAGCTTTCAAAAAGCCCTTCAAAAAAAAAAAGATGCTTTCAAAAAAAAAAAAAAAAAAAAAGTAAGAATTTCTAAAATGGGCAAGTAATGAGCTGTACAAGATAAAGACAAGTAAAAAGAAAAAAAAAAAGAAGAAGATAAAGACGTACGAGTCTATGCATTATGTACATGGTGGGTTCAAGTAATTAGATATAGAGTATGATATTAGGCTACACTTTATGAATTAGCCAATTTTTAATTTTAAGTTAACGATTATGTATAAATACTAAAAGATACTTGTAATACATATCTAAAAGATACTTGTAATACATATTTTGATTTAGTACTCCATTTGATGATTATATAAACACTATATTCTCTTCACCTTATTTTTGCTAAAGTGAAATTATATTTATTGAACTAAAATTAATTATTTATAACTACTAGGAATTTATCTATATATTTATAACTACTAGGAATGTTTTATAACTACTAGGAATTTATAAACACTATATATAGGCATTAGGCAAATGAAATATCTATCCGCGAGAGAATTTGTTCATCAGAATGACCAAGTAAGGTACGGTATTTAAGCACTTTTCACTTGTGTCATTATTACAAAAAACATAATTAATTAAATCTAGTTACTTCAAAACATTCATTTTTCATTATATCAATGCAAAGGCTGTGAGCATGAATCCAGACACACCACTCGGTACAGCGGTACTTGATATCTGGATCCTTTTCCTGCTTTTTGTACGATTACGGAGAAGATACGAGGTACTAAGTCATGTTCACCCTGTATTCATGTGATATGCTTAGAGGTGATTGCTTAGAAACAGGCCTTTGCTCTGACCAGAGCTCCATATTAACAGTTCCTGTACCCCAGTGGATCAAACACTTGTAAACTTCTTTGATATCAAACCGGCTGACAAGACTAACACCGAGACATTTATCAACTAGTGCCCATTCTCCTGAAAATTCACAAATTTGAGTGTATAAATTCAAAGAAAATATCAGCTAAAACAAATCAGATGATCAAACTAGCTACTACCTTTCTACTACTAAAAATGCTATTATCATTGTTTGAGAATTACCATTTGGTCGCTGGTCACCCTCGTAAGACAACTCATCTGACTCTGGATGAATCTGATGCTTAGATCCATCAACTGCGGTAAATGATACAAATGATTCTGTAGGGTGCATGAGAGCAAATGTTGGATGCACACGCAAGCACACAAGCCTACACAAAATTCCCATCATCAGGCAATGAGTATGAGCATAACTTAGACTTAAAGAAAAAGGCTTGGATTGACTCTAGAAAAATACTATTCTAAAAAAAAAAAGAAACATACATAATAATCCCATCATCTAGAATTGAGCAAATGTACTGCAGAATGACCATTTTAAGTTGCATGCTTAATTGGGTAAGCATTAGAACATCTAAACATATACATTTATAGACATTTAACCAATATATCATTATGTAGATTATAACTACTAATCCACAATTACACAAGTTAAGGTATGCAATATAATTATAAATTTCCAGTAGTTATACGTACAACACAAAAGGCCGACTGTTTACATTAGCATATAAAGATATAATGAAGGCTGTTCTAGAATCAATAGGTAATGAGTAAATACAGTCTTGCTAATTAATACACTAGAAGATACAACCTCCAGAGTTGTAAATCGATTGGATGATTTGTAATAAAGTTAATCAAGTTAACTTAATCTATTCTATTCAAATGGAATTAGAGCTGCAAGCATCAGTTCAAGATGCAAATGGATCATAAAATCATAATTTCAATGCATAAAACTTTAATATTCTGATGATAATTAACCTTAGTCTTTCTCAGGGCAAATAGAAAATTCTTATCATGATTTCACCTTGCACCACCAGAGTATGTAGATAAATTACCCAAATTGTTAATCAATCAGCCACCTCTAGAAACAATTTTCTTCAGCTGCAACAGCAGAGTTCGCTCACGTTGCTAATCTATTGTACAGTTGCATATTGGCACCATTCTTTCCTCAGTTTCATCTTAACCTATATAATAGTCTACATAAAGCCCAAGCATAGGGGAAGCCTTCTGAAGTTTGAAATGGGTCTGGGCATTGATTGGGGTTATCCAATCTAATTTAGCGGGCAATATAGGTCATGTCCAGTTTCTGTGAAAATTAGTAGATCTAACTAAATTTGAAGCTAGGTTGTGCATGTTCACCTGAAATTGTGAAAGCCCTTCCCCAATTCATTTTATAAACAGACCATGTAAAAGTAAACAAATACACTATAGCATTAAAACCCGTGCAATACAAATGCATGTTCTGATCATTAGTAATTGTGAGTTGTGAATGAAATGATCCTGGAGTAAACATAAGGACAAACCTTGAAAATCCTCCAGAACCAGCACCAACATTTCGGCCTATGATACTGGATTCAATTTGGACAGCATTGGGTTCAGTCTTTGGAATAGATATATATCTCTCCACGATCAACCCTCCACCAATATCACCTTCCATTAACAAGGCTTCTTCTTCTCCAGCTTGCTGAAGATCTCGCCTGCATTAATAAGAATTTGGAGAAGGCAACAGGCACTTATTGTCATGAGATTCAAGAAAGAAATAAATACATAATGTACATTAACTGCATCCCCAATGCAGTCATGCACAGACAAATTCAATAGTGAGATCACTGGCATCTTCAATACCCTACAAAGAAGAAGCTCAGACTTGGCAGTTCCAAAAATCCAGTTATTATTTCCAGCCAACATAAAGTTTCATCATATGTGCAGAGAAAATACAAATACATATTCAGACTCAACAAGTCAACAGTTCCTGAACTAGTTAATTACAGCCAAAATAATGTTTCATCATTTATGCATAGAAAATGCAAATGTGTTAACTTTAACTTAATATGATCACTGCAGCTGTAATAGTCTATATAACTATATGTGGTGTGCTTGAAAATACAAATTAGCATAAAGCGTAATAATCCCATATACTAAGTCATATTTTCAAAATCACGAACACAAGTTAGAATACTAATGACAAGCTTGCATAAATTGTAAGCAATATTATTGCTCATGAGGTACATTCAGTCAATCAGAGAATATTTCAATCTTTTCTTTGTAGAAAAGCTCACTTGTGTAATTGAGAGTATTGTGTAATATACCCATACACTAAGTAGTAATTCCAAAAGCATTAACAGCTAAATCCAGAACACATTGTCAGGCTACCCGAATAAGCAAGCAATAATGCTGATAGGTACAATTAAAGCACATTATCATCTTTTCTTCGTAGAATATTCAGCATCATTGGTGTTCATTGCGGGCAAATCAATACAGGATTTCTTCAGCAGCTAAATATGTGCATTATATGAAATAAAATTTCTGCACTTGAGTTCTAGGCAAATAAATTCAGACAAGTTCTGGAAATCTGGATAAGATCCAATAATGGCCATCCAAGTTCAATTCACTAATAAAATGGGTAAATGGGTGTTAGTTAATCAATTAATCATATTTTAGCATCTTGACATGCAGCAACTTTCAAACTAAAGAGTCAAGACTCACAAGTCACCAGCATTAACAAGAGCACTCACTCAATGACAGTATATTCCTCAGTGCATCCAGGAGATCTATACTCTGTGCCACTGTACTCCTCGTAGCCATCAGTTTCAACCCTGCTATGGAGCCACTGTATTCCTGTACCAAGTGAAGGTGCATAGCATTAAACAATTTCATGCAGAAGATGACATTCAAAAGAAGAATTATTATCAGGCAACAAAGTTTGGATAGGAAGTCCAGCCACAAAGAGTGGCACAACTGATCAAAACCATAAAAAAGTCAGTTTAAGAATGTTACTTTCTCACAAAATCAGGAGTCATGCTTTCTTAAGTTTTTTCTGTTATGTGATGTATGCCTACATATACATACTTCAATTTTTTTACTAGTATTTTTTTGGGCTATTAGTTCCTCTGAAAAGGACAAGGTTCTTTAGAAATTTTCAAAACGTATTTTATGAGCTAAGCCGCCTGCGTTGCAGATAAACTAAGCGAAAATCGCCTGCGTTGGTTTGGGCGTGTAAGATGGAGACCTTAGGGTGCACCGGTTCGAAGAGTGGAAGAGTGGGACCATGGAGGGCTTAAATGAGGTAGAGGGAGACCGAAAGTGACTTGGTTGGAAGGAGTTAGGAAGGATATGAGGTATATGGATTTGCATAAGGATGAAGCATTGGACCGTAGGAGATGGAGGAGGAAGATTTATGTCGATGACTACACAAAATAATCAAATTTGGTTCATGTTAGCCGACCCCACTTATAGGATTAAGGCTTTGATTGATAGATTTTATGAGCTAAATGCTATTATTATCCACTTTTAATTTGAATGTATAGAGAAATAGATATATAGAATGATACATTCCAGAGAATTACTCCCTCTTAATCAAAGAGTCAACATCAGATTTTCAGTAACGATACAGACAATTGGTGATAATAATTTTTAAGAATTAACAGAAAAAGATTTACTATTCACCCTTGAATAAGTATATAATCTAACACCACAAAGGTCTTTCTGTCTTCTCTCAAAAAAAAAAAAAAAAAAAAAAAAAAAAAAAAAAAAAAAAAAAAAACTCTTTCTGTCTAGCTAATAAATTCGGCCACAATAGTCAAAAGAGTTGAGGTGGATAAAAGCAGCTGAAAATTTTCCTTCGGTTGAATGAATTATGCTTTTCTGTTTCTGGTAAAGAAGAGTAAATGTTAATGTTATAGGAGGCTTAAAATGCTGCTGTACTCATGAAAGATTTATGCCCAATCATTCTAGATAAAGCTTGTACCCTCTGTTTTTCCTGTGAAGTAAATATTAGCTTAGTAGATGGTCATCAAAGAGACAAAGTCATACCTGTGGGATGATGCTCCATTGCAATAATTCTACCACCAATCCAGGGAACCACTCTAAGAAGCCAGTCACCACCTTTTAGTTCAACAGGAGTCATTGAAAGTTCAGTACCCTTCTTTCCTGCAGTATGTTCAACCTCTGGAATACGCTTCACAGTTTCTGCAAAAAATAGATATAAAATTGAGCTCAAAAATTAACCACGAAGAAGGGTCCTATATTTTCGGCAAGGGATTTTAAAGGTAAATTTTTTTTTTGAGAAAAGTCTTACATGGAAGTATTAATGGCAATTAAAAATTTCCTACTTAAGTATTACATAACTAATACAAGATTACAAAGAAAGTGACAAGTTCCTGATGCCAGGTATAGGCAGCTGGAGCAAAATAACTGCAAAGGAGTAGGCAGTCAAAAATTCAAAGCATGTAGCAGCTTGCTCAATGTCTTTCAAGTTACCTATACGAGTCAGATACTGCTTCTGACTGACTGAGACCAAGTTAGAAACTTCATGTTCTGATGGCATGGTAATCTGCACTTCTTCTCCATCAGTGGCCCAGGAATCAATCTGCATGAAAGTAACAAACTCAGAAGACAGATGAAAACAGATCTATCTGTGAAACAAAATAGCAATAATATCTAACAAATTGTCATATTTCCACCAAATTTCCTACCATTGCACCTCCACCAAGCAACAATTGCACACACAGACGACGTTTTGGCCTCTTCCAGGATCCTTCAGTTTTAGAAACTTTTATAGTAACGACAGAAGAGTGGAGTTCAGCAGTGTAATAAGTTAATAAATAATTCCCTCTAGTGAATTCATATCCATCACCATCATCTTCAAATAGTACACCTTCAGCTTTTCCTGCAATTATACGGAAGCCTGTCATACACCTGCTGATAACCTCAGCACAAAAAAAGGCTTCCCTTACAGCAGGAAAATAGAATCAAACAATGAACCAGTATAGAATATAACAGCCACCATCTTAGAATGGCCATTAAACAGACTCCAGTAAATGAAGATCATGAAAAAAATGAGAGCAAAGAAAAGGGCAGTTTGTGGACCAAGAAAAAAGGGTCTACAGTGGTGGTGAAGACAAGGAAGAAGTTGCAGGAATAGTGTAACATGACCTTTATTTTGTGAATAAGTTGATTTAGAAAATATATTTATAATGTGTATAATTCAAAAATCATGGCATATTCTATATAAAATAAATAATTAAATACATAAAATGACATTGAGATCTCTAACATGACCACATCTGCTACAACCCAATTATTATATCTGCTATAGCTTAAGGAGTTAAAGATTTCAATTTCTGAAGCTAAATAGCAATGCTGGAACATACCATTTTCATCTAAAGCGACAAGAAGTGTTAAGTCATCTGTTGGCTTAGCTTCCCCAACATGTTGATGTGGAGGGACCAAGGGAATTATTGATCCTCCTCTGAGATACAGCAAGGGTAAGTCCTAAATAAAACAAGACCAAAAGCTTCAATAATTTTCATGTAAACTTGTTTGCCATCAAAGTACGCTTAAAGGATGGTTGCCAAATACCGGATGTGAATCATTAAAGTCAAACTTCAACCAAATGCCTTTAGGCAGCACTGGCTGTATCTGGTCTGTCCCCTGATCTTGCAAAGTACTGTATATAGTAGCACTGGAATTAGTTCAAATTTATGCAATCAAGTCAGCTCCTAGTTCTTAGTTACTAAAAGATGATCCCAATGAAAAATCTATCCAATAGAGCCAAAAATGTATTGCAATTTTAACACATTTACTGCAAGTGATTGTAGTGCTTTTGCAGTTGCTAACTTGCTACCACATCAATAAAACAGAGATAGATGTTGTAGGTTCAATTGATAAAGAGTCCGATGTTTATCATTAGAGGGTGAGATTAAGCATATAGCAAATAATATTCAACTGATCATCCTACATGCACCTATTGTCTTGTACAATATTCATATAGGAAGCAGTCTTCTCCACTAATTTCTTAAAGTTTAAGAGCCTTTTCACATTCTATTTGGTAGGCTGTAATAAATAGTGATAATGGTTATGAAGTATGAACCACTATATAGATTGACAAGGAAAGTTCCATGTCAGTGTCCATGGAGATACAGCCCCTTCTATGAATGTGTTTTCTTCATAAATTCCCATGCCCTCTCAATACCACTAAAGTAATTACGGTGGGCACAAGAAATAATGAAGAAAAAAAAAAAGCTAGTTGGAACTTGGGAGTGGGCAAGCATTACCATGAATACTCACAAGGGAATTTGCTTACAGTTACATTTGCGTTCCTTACCATTATCACCAATGATTACCACCTACCAAATGGGTCGACAAGACAGCAAGCCCTCAAGGGTATTAAGCTGCAATTAGTCATTTAGTCTGCTTGATGCATATTACAATGAACTAAGATTAAAGCCGTTCTAACAACATATCAATGGTGTAATCAGAAGATAGCAATCAACACATAAAAAAGAAGAAGGCATAAGATGATAGATGAAAAACCTTGTATGTATAAGAAGTGGTCCCAGCAGGAAAGAATTCTCAACTGTACGAAGGTGTATATCTTTTGGATCTAGAAACATGAATGACTTTAATGATTAAGATGGTAGATGGATCATTGATGAATTTCAAGCTATGTCATTGATAATTATACCACCTGCGAAAAAGGCTGGTGAAGCAATTGGAGTTCCCCTCGTATGTGCTAGATAGAATAAAGTATATATGTGTGGTATAAGCCGGTAGCGTCTCTTCAAAGCAAGACGACACACTTCCTCGCACTGATCAATGAAAGTGAAGTTAGCAGTTAGCCTCAATCTTACTTTCTAATTGCTACAATTCCCTAATCTAGAAGTTTCATATTAACTGCTACATAACCATTACATGATCCCTCTTTTTATATATCTATCTCTGTCCAATTCCTTAAATGTGTGTGCCACCTCCTAGCAATCAACAAGAACAAGGAAGTATTATTTAAGCAATACACCTTTATTGTATTAATGACTAATGAAGCACCAAACGTGCCATCAATACGCAAAAGGTGGGCTGGATAAGAATTCATCACGCACTTGATTTTCATGTCATATTATTCACAATCATCATTTTGAATGCAGCAACTTTGGTTCAACTAAAGCTGTGAAAGAAACTTCAAACTTTGACATGAAGATGATATTCTTAAATATCCACAGGTCTACTTTCTAACTCTAGTCAATCGAATTGGTTGATAGAAGTTTTGTGACAAAGTTAGCCTTGCACAAAATAATTAATTAATAGCATTAAGCATTGTACAAGGGCATATCAACCGACATTAAATTAAAACTTCTATGTCCTGAATTTTTAACATACCTCTTCACCAAAAGCCCAAGGTTCATGGTCATCTGTACTCTTCTCAGTATGCCCGCGACAAAATGGAAACATGGCACCAATACCCATCCACCTTCCAAATAGCTTTGGTGTGGCATTACCAGCAAATCCACCTATGTCTGGACCTGAAAGAGGTTGTCCACTAAGGCTCTGTAACCCAAAAAGGGAGGAACAAATGAACAGTTAAGCACATATCTTTTAAACCTTTGATTTTTAGGATAACAGTAATTCTACTCATAGAAGTAAACAAAAAGAAACATATAAACACATTGTTTTTTTCCCAATACTCCAATTCTTAGTGTATGACTGTATTCCCTAGTGTGTGTATCAATATACTTCCTTTTTTTTTAACTTTATGTTTTAGAACTTCTACCATTTCTCTTTAGTTGCTTTATTAAGGGCAGCTGTTCAACGACAAGCCCAATCATGTGACTAGCCAAAAAGGGGTCATTTTGAGCATTCTAACATACCTAAAACCTAATTACCAAAAATGAACATGTAGATATCATAAAAGAAATATGATAAATCTAAAAAAACAGAGTAAGTATATAGGATGGCCAAGGTGAGGACAGGGTTTTCCTCCATGAAACTCAATTTGGGCGAAGCCCAATTTATGCTGAACCTCACCTTCCAATTGGACACAAGGGTTTGATACCTTGTGGTGCCACAAATCAGGTTACACCAATAAGGAACTTGCATCGTCAATATGTATAAGGAATGGTGCCTTTGGTTGCATAGAATGACAGCCACATTACTTTACTAATTGTCTTCGAATGGCACCACAGGTTTCCTTACTAAGTCAAAAACTTATACAGTATTAAAATTACTGCATAACAGGGAATGAATAATAAACAACAAATAAGAAAGACCTCTCCAGATCCCATACCAATTGAAGTACCATGGGAACACTCATGTGAAGGTGTTCCCAAGTTGAAAGGTTGTCACCAGTCCATGTTGCAGCATACCTTTGGCTGCCTATAAATCCAGCTCGAGTAAGAACAAATGGCCGCTTATCTTCTTTTGCTAATCTCATGCCTTCATATGTAGATCTAGCCATGAGCATCCCATAGACCTGAAAAATCAACAGAATCTCATATTAATATATCAAGCTCTGTCAATCATATCAAAAAATGTGAGCAGGAAAAACAAAAGACATAAGAATATAGAGTAATACATTGTGGTAGTATGAATGATTTTGGCTGCCGCCTAACTCAGGATCCCCATCATGAATATTGCTCTCAGGCATTGTCTTTGTCACTACCTGATAAACATGTAACAAGATAAAACCAACTTACAACCCAAGAGAGGTAGAAGATTAAAGGTTGGGTGCAATCTGGATACAAATGTCAAAATTCAATACCTTGAATATTGCTGGTTCATTCATATCATTCCATATACCATCAACACCATTGGAAATGAAGTCTTTCACTAAATCTGCCCACCATAATCGAGCTTTTGAATGTGTAAAATCAGGGAAGACACAAGGTCCAGGCCATACTTCACCTGATTATAAAAGAAAGTATGAGACAACCACAGGGTTCAACTATTGCTTATGAAAATTTCATATAATCCTATTGAATTTCAAGATGATAACATTGATAACTAATGGAAGAATCAGGTTTCAAACAATTACGAGTACATAATTATGTTACTTGTAATACTTTTGTCTAACAATCTTGATAATAAATTCTCCCAATGACTTATCTTGTCAGTCGACAATGCTGCAATGCTGCAATGCATCAACAATGACTTTCTCTATTAAGAGGCTAGAGAAACAAATTTTCACCAGACTGATCAGTGATCACTGATGCTTTCAGTTTTTTCCTATCCAAAAATCCTGCTGCACAGCCCATTACAAATATTTTTTCCTTTCTTTTTTAAATCTAAACTCCTGAACTTGATATCTTCTTTTTATTGGCTCTCTATATGACTGAATAAAGTCACCTTTATTTCAAGCCAAAACATTTTTAAAAAAAGATAGCAGCCAACTTGTGAGAGTATGAGATCAAACAAGTAGAATTAGCATAGAATTATTGAAAAATGTGGAGTTAGTGGCCGGCTAGGTGCTATGTCTAAGTGATTTAATTGGAAATTGAACCCCAACAAATCGAGCCACTTGTCAACAATAAACTCGTTTATTCAACAGAAAGAAGATATTAAATAGGTTATAAAAAATCAGACTGCAAGATTAGTCCATGTACGAGAAATCCTAGTGCTATCAAGGCCAAGTATCCGTAGAAAAAACCTTACCTAAAAAAGGTTTCCCATCAGCAGTTTTGATCCAGACATCGTTTTTAGTTCCACTGTCATAAACAAAGTAACCCTTTTCATGTTTGATTCCAGGATCAAGCATCCAGATAGCTTTGAAACCATTAAGATGAAGATCATTCACCAACGAGTTTGGGTCTGAAAAATGCTCCTGGTACAATATTTTAGTGAAACAAGAAAAACTTCATGATCAAAATAAAGAATAAAAGGAAATTCAGTAGCATTCTACAAATTTTCTCATATCCCGCAAATAATCCAAATCAAATTAGAATAGTGGGAAGAAGTAATATCATCCAGGGCCTTTACTAGCACAAAGGCTAAACAAAATCTGGATAGAGATGGAGGCCAGAACAGATAATTTTCACTTTTCCAGTGCTACACTAAGGTTATGGAAGGACCCAAACTGAAACAAAACCAAATCCAAATCTAGAAGTAAACAATACCCATTTCCATTAGGTCCTTTGGCAGGTTTCTTTACACCCCATTTGAGCAGAGATTAAAATAATCCTTATTCATTCACCTTTCCACATTACATAACTGACTAGTCTTTACAAAAATGAAAGAGCAGGTAAATAAATATGACATTAAGGCCAGTCTTTATGATAGAATAGTGTTTTAGCATACATAACCATGTTGTTCATTCTTTGAATTCAGCTGAAGATTGCTGACAGAATGAATAACAGTTATAAAATCACCCATATCTTGTCATTGAGGGACTCCTCTCCCAACCTAACTTTAGTATAAAGGATAACTATCATACAGAGTTAATCAAGGATATTACTGTAAAATTGCAATATGTATTATTGCAAAGGAGCAACTCCTAAAATAGTATTGTTGATATGACCATTTGAGAAAATAAATGAAATAGCTTACACCGTCAAAAGTGAAGCAACGAAAACCATCCATGTAGTCTATATCCATCCAGATCACATCACAAGGTATGTCCTTTTTTCGAAAAGTTTTAGCAACCTGCATATTCAGTAGAAAATTACACACGCACAAAGAGAATAAAAAAAACACCAGAAATATAGATATGAGTATATGATATGCCGCTAGGGAAAAGGGAAGGAAGTCCAAGCTATGAGCAAGAAATCACTTAGCAAACACCAAACTCACATGACAGATGAACAGTTTAACATGCTTATGTATGCACCACAAATAGAGATAGGATTTCAGTTCATCTTTTTCAAGGACTAAGAACTACTAACCTCAAGAACTTGTTTATCAGTATCATAGCTCCATCGACATTGATGATAGCCAAGTGACCACTTTGGTGGCATAAAGACAGCTCCTGTAACCAGAATATAGGTTATAAGTCTGTACTCTGTACAAAAATGTAAGCACTAGTACTCTGTACAAATTGCATTTGGGATATGGAATGGGCAGAATATCAGAAATAAAACGTAGAATACAGCTTATTTGAATTTGCTTTTTAATGCTCCTTCTGTATTTGAGACAAACTCAACAAAAACAGAGAAATATAGCTTCAAGCATCTCTCATTTTAATTTAATACTGCTGTCACTGGTGTGTATCAAATTTCTGAAAGATTCATATGGTGTCTCTATGTCCCAAAGATGATTTAGATTTTTCAAATCCAATTTAAAATTAATAGATGCTTGTTTCTCTTAGCCTTGTACTGTTTCTAAGGTGAGCATGTAGATGAAGTAGCTAGTTTGAGACACCAAGGAAAGCAAAAATTGGTCAATCAATAGCCACGTGATCCTCCCCTCTTATAACTTGCGTAGCAGAGTTGACCCTCCCCTCTTCCCTTTTCTGTAATCATCACATGATAAAGTAGCAAACAAGCCCGGGTCTTAAAGAAGTTTTCAAAGGGGTAAGGTGGCCATTTCAATTAGAAAAAACGGCCATAGCATTGAGTATAATAATATATACTACTACATAAATAGTTTCTAGTACATTTCCTAGCCTTAGCAAAACAAAGTTGCCAATTATTTGCTCCAGGCAAGAATTAAAAGACAAAAGGTGTACACATATCAAATTTCCTTAGGGAGGAAAATGGAAAGTAATGGGGGTGCAAAAGTTATTTATCACAAGAAGCATATTTAATATATATTCATAACTTTAATATATCAAAAGGTTGTAATTCTAATTTGCAAATTCTCTTAAGATTGGTGTACGTTACTGATTTTTTTTCTTCCTTTTCTTCTGGTAGAGATGAATAGTGTAAAGTGCAACAAGCCTGTACACATGGTCATGCTTCTCTAACTGAAAAGAATGTAACCTTTTTCCCTTTCTTTGAAACTTATGAAGGATTTCCATTATTAGTACATCATCCACAGATATTGACCATATGAAGTATTAAGATTTAAATAAAGATGTCCATAAAGGCTTTATAAAATTCTCCCTTTGCCCTGCATTGTAATTCTCTCTTATTCTAAGCTAGCCAAACATCCAGCTGTGTAGAAGTATTGGGGGAAAGTGGGAATATGCAATCAAATAATTGTCTTATATGAGTAACAGTGATTACCAATTGCATGAGATAAAGACACCAGAACCTGCGTTGGGGAAGAAAATGGCCCGAATGTGATAACAGGGTAAGATGATGGTGCAACAAACTTTATGGTAGATTCCTTCCGTAAATCAATCTGCACATGAAAGATGATTAGAATAAACATTTAGGGAGTAAATGCAAGAAAAGCAACCACTCATGAATTTCTGTAAACATTAATACATTATAAAATCAGTGACTTCAAATAGAAAATCATAAATGAGGATTTTACCTCACAGCGTTGTGTTGTATCAGCAAGCACACCTAGTGTTTCCCCATTTGGCAAAACGGCCAGAACCCAGGGATGTGACTGATATAAAGACGTTGTACCCGGACCATATCCCCAAGCATCTGTATTCCAGGTAAAGACCTAATGCAGAAAGAATAAGTGAAGACCCAATATATAAATTAAGTGATTCACATAGGATAGAATGCCAGGATTGAAACTTTACTCTCTTTCCTGTCCTCTCAAGCTGTCCACTGACTTCTCCAGTTCCATAAAAAGATGTACCGACAGGAAGCTGCAGTGAAGAAATAAGTTCGAAAACAAACTGTTGTAAAAGTGAAAAATAAGAGCATAAAAATTCAAACAAAACAAAAAGCACCAAAGTGGAATCATAAATTCATAACTCACCTTGTAGAGAACAGAGACGGGGTGTAGTAGAAATTTTAAAACTTTAGGTGGAAGAATTAGCAGAAGTTCATCAAAATTTAAGTTCATAAAGATAATGTTTGACACCAACAGAGAGAAGAGAAGGCATGACAAATTAAAATATATTCAATTATTTAAGGTCATCTACATGGTTTCACTTTTGGGTTCAGATAAAATATACCAATCATTCAAATAGAACAGAAGAAGAAAAACATGTCCCAGGTTGCAAGCATGAAAATAGTGAGTACAGGATTTAACCTGAAGCCGAACAACTTGTTGCCCTAGAGTGCACTCAGATGTAGGTATATAGAAAGGAAGTTTTTCACTCATCAGAGGTGTGTCTCTGACTTTAGAATCCACAAATGAGAGGCTAGGAAATGCTGCATTTCTATCATCAGATGAGCAGTCGAATCGAAAGACGCCTTCTTCTAATATAGGCTCATAAATCATAGTTCCGGAACAGACATCACTTGTCATTCCCTTCCTGTCGATTCCCTCCATGCTACAAGCAAGCTTATAGCAACTGATTTTTTTGATCCTGCAAAGATAAGCATCTCTTACAAATCTCTACCTTGCAGTACAACCTTTCAATCACGGAGTAACTAATAACGAAGACTTAACACAGACGTGGAAACAAAGGAGGCAAATACATCAACACTTCCTAATCCCTTATACTCGAGCACTTCATTCCAATTCAAGTGCAAACTTTGCTATACCCGTGTATCAAATTGGAGGTTGAGAAGGGAGACAATTTAGTTACTATAGGTTAAAAAGCATAACAAAAAAGCCAGGAAAGCTGGTAATGGTTACCCTTAGCAACCTTATGAATTAAAAACAGAAAGTTAAAAAATGGTTATTTGACTCCACTTTCACCACACAGGCACACACTATACCTAACATGCTCTAAAATGAATCAATCATTGAAAAACGCTAAAAAACACACCAATCCTTGATCATCACAGTTACTTCTATTGTAACAGCTCCTTAATAAGCATTCACATTCACAATGTTACGTCATATGTAACATATATTACATGATTTTTAATTTTAAATGCGCGTATTACTATAAACTTCAAACATTCCCAATAAAAATTATTTGATAAATAATAATTGAAAAAAAAAACAACATCTATTTGTGGCCATGAATTAAAATTTCAACACTCAGTTCTTTTTCAGCCAAATTCTTTCAACCAAAAAGGACCTAAAAACTACTCCATTCAGAAATTTACTACAAAAAAACCAACTTATATAACCCTAAATTGAGAGCATAAAACATCAGTACAGTATAGTAACAACTAACAATGATCAAAATTCTTCAAAAAAAAAAATAACAATAATAAGTATATAAATAAATAACAATGAGCAAAGAAAATTACACGAAGAAAAAAATTGCGAAAAGCGATCAAATTAACCTAATTAAGTGAAATTGATATTCAAATCATCAATAAAATAGACAAAAAAAAAATTATTGAAAGCATTAACATGTGAGCGAGAAACTCACCAAGAGCTTGGAAAACAAAATGAAGATGATCGATAATGATGACGACGACGATGATGGAAGTAGCACAATTTCAAGGAAGAGGTTGAAGAAGCAGTAAGTGAAATTGCTCCAACTCCAACTGCCATTTTTGTAGGTCGATCTCTTTATATTTTATTATTTTTTTTTGTTGACGGGGTCACCTTCATTTTTTTTTTTTTTTTAGAGTCACGAGGGCGGGGTGAAAATCGATCCCAAGATCTCCAGAAATCGGGAGGAAAACTCTAACCACTTGAGCTACCCCTCACCAGAAGCCCCCATTTATCTCCTAGATAAACATCTTTTGTTTATCGGATGGCACTATTGTAAATATTTGCACAAAAACATGTGACACATCAGTTGGAAAATGCTAGATTGCTTACATGTGGACAAAGTAAACACATGTGTGAGATTAAACTTGCAAGGTTGGTCTTCACGGCAGTTAAGCCTCTTTTCATGAACGTTTCATCTTTGTTAACCATGGTTAGTTACAGGCTGCAAGTGACCACCTTTTTTGAAGTTTTGTTCAACAATCAGAGGGGATGAAGATGAGCTAAATCAAAACTCTAATTCGGTTTCCCCAATTTTGATTTATTCATCGTAATTTCCCCAGTAGCCACTTGCTCAGCCGTTGAAGCCACCAGTTGATACCCACGGCACCAGCACCACATTCACCGTCGCCTAAAGTTCCTAAACTCGTCGCCCGTCTAAAACTCGCCGCCGATTGAGATCCTAGAGTCGTTGCTTAGGCTTGGGTTAATTATTTGCTCAAGTTCGGGAATTCCTTCTCTCTCGCTCGTTGCTTAGGTTGGGTTTGCTGCTTTTCTCTTTCCTCTTAGACTAACCTTGGGTTATCTGTGACTGTCAACTTTAGTGCGTGGAAATTTACGTCTATACCCTTAGTATCTCCAACGAAGTTACGTCAATAACCCCGGATAAACATCAAATGTTTATCGTGGTGATAAATATGAATTTTCTCACCCCTCACTCTCATTTGTTGGGGAATTTGAAACACAGTACACCAATTTTTTTTGGTAACGGAATTTTTGAAGTTCTTTTGAAACGGGTTAGTAGGCTACACAATTTGAAATTAGGGGAAAATTTGAAATATAACATACAAGTATTAATCAATCTATTGAAATTTTTTAGTCAATTAGAAAACAAGAACTATTTGTATACTTATCCACGTGTACAATAAAAGAAAACAAAATAATTTTCTTGTAATGTTTGTTTTAAATTTTTAGTGGATAATTGGTTTTTCAAAGTATATATAATGAGACAAATTAATAAATCGAAATGTTGAATGCTCCATCCATTTTAAAAATAATTAAGAAATGGAGATCAAAGCATGGTTTTTGTTATCCAAGGAGATCAAACCATGTAAATCGGAACTTTAATAAAAGCAGCAAAGCAGTCACAAAAAAACTTACTCAATTGTTGTAGAATGTAGATTATCATGGACTAGAACTATTGTGTCCAAAAAAAACATGGACTAGGACTAGTGGACAACATAATTTACAAGGATTTGCATGCAGAGGTGTCAAATCGGGTACCCAGATGGAGTTTGGGTTGACCCACGATGGGTCGGGACGTTTGGGTCGGGTAATGATGGGTCATTTTAATCTTACAAACCAAATCAAATCGGGTTGAGTTTCATCAGATTCGGGTTAAAGTTGAGTTCAAGTATGATTGGATACAAATCGAATTGAGTCGAATCATATCGAGTTAAGATGAACTCGGATCCAGATTTTATTGGGTTTATTTGGGTCAAAGTGAATTTATTTGACTTTGGATCTGGTTATTTCGAATTCGATTAGATCTTGGTTCAAATCACTTCAATTCCGATTAAAATTTGAATGTGGTTGCTTCGATTATTAGCTCATTCTCAGTTATAATACTTTAGTTTTGGTTTTGGGTCGAATAATTTAAATTTGGGAAATTAAGAGCTGAACTGATTAGAGCTGAACTGAACTGAACTGAAATTAATCTGAAGTGAACAGGCCCTAAGTTCATATCGGTTATATCATATAATTTTAGATAATTTTATACAAATTCATATTAATTCAGATAAATTCACATTAGTTTAAATAAATTCAGATAAGTTCGAATAATTTCATATACATTAAGATGAATTAATATATGTTCAGATTATTTCATATAATTATGATATTTTCTTATAAATTCAAATAATTTCAGCTAACTTCAAAAAATTCAGATAGTTTCAAATTGATACAGAGTATGAGTTTAGATAAATTTAGATACGTTTATATAAATTCAAATAAATTTAGAATTGTTTTATATAAATTTAGAAGTTCAATTAAGCTGAAATAAATACATATTCATCACATTCAGGTGAATATAACACACCAAATTACATTAATATATCATACATATATATTTATATTATAAATTTCAAATTTTATACATTGAAAGTATATTTTATGGTATATAATGATAATATTGGATTTTTTGACTTTAGAGTGCTAAAATCATGGATTAATTCACTAATATATGATCAATGTACTATTCCTATAATGTTAACTCGATTCAAACATATTCTTATTGATTTGCGTTACTTTTGTGGTATCTCAATTGTTACTATTCATTTGTTTATTTATTCTTTTACCATTTTATTATAGTACTCCGTATCAATTAATCAATTATCATTTTTTTTCTATGACTCCCTTCTTTGTTCTCTCTACAAATTCTATAATTCACAACTTGAATGTTGACTTAAGAAAGACTTCATCAAACAACGTAACTCAAATGTAAGGATATATGATTCTAAGGTTGAGCCATCAACCATTCTCTACCACAAATGTATAGTGGTAAAGAATTTGATTTCAAGATAGAACAAAAAGTTATATATGTTTAAAAGCAAGTTGGGTTTAATTGAATTATGAGTAATTTCGTGTCGGTTTTAATTTGGTCATAGGAAGTTTTAAATCGGATAATTAAAGGTCAGGTAAAAAGTGGTATTTTTTCGGGTCTAAATGGTTACAGGTGGATTTCATTTCGGGTTAGATCGAATTCAAATCTTATATTATCGGGTCTTATTGGTTTCAGTTTTAATATGAGTCGATTTCAAATTGGGTTGGATCATAAATTACCAGGTGGAGTCGGTTTCGAAATAATGTTGAGTCGACTCCAGATCGAATTCGGATAAAATATATTCGGGTCCAACCAGTTCGAAAACAGTTCGGTTTCAAGTAAACCTTTCGGGTCGGGTAAGTTTTTGACACCCTGGCCCCCCTAGTTCACATAAATAACCAACAAAACCAAAAATTAAAAAAATAAAAAAAAACAAAAAGAGAGAAAAGAAAACAGAAGGTTTGAAGAAAGAGAAAAACATGGCGGGGGTGAAGGTGGAGGCTTCGGTTGTTGGTGGCCATGGTGGGGGTGAAGGTGGAGGCTTCGGTTGTAGTGGTGGTTGAGGGTGGGGCAGTTGTTTTTTTTTCTTTTTTTTTTTTTTTAAATCATATCATTTAATTAATATAAAATTGTAATTAAAAAAAACAATCTATCAATCACTAAATGATACGTGTCACACTAACTTATTAAGCAGGTCACCAACCGATTTCATCCTATATATAGAAATGCATGTCAAAGGTCGTTTTATTAAGAAATAATTAAAAGGTCGTTTTATTTTCGGAACACCGAGCAAAGGTCATAGTATTCTTGACAATTTTTCCTTTTTATTTTCAGGTGAAAAAAAGGTCAAAAAAATTACAAAATTGAAGGCTAATCCACGCTTTTTGAGGAAAATTTGAGGTTTCGGGGCCCGGTGGCGAAAAGCCTTGAGACCATAACGGATGTATCTCGGGGTCATTGTAAACACTCATTTGTGTCTCCCATAAACCAAACCCAGTAATGAATACCTTTCGCGTCGAACCATAATTGAATGAATTGAAAGTGTGAAAAGTCAAGTGTTGCGGTTAGTTTTTATTAAAATCTTTCTTTCTGTTTTCGAAAACCAACTTTATTTTATGAAAATTTATATTGGTTTTATTTATCTACAATGTTTTTTTTTATTTGTATGCTATTTTACAGTGAAAAAATTTAGAATTTGAGAATTTCCACAAAACAAAAGGAGCGTGTAAAAAACCTTCAATTACAAAATTCAATCACCCATAGGAGAAAGTAACAAAACACAACTTAATTTAAAACCTTAATAACCACAATCATATTACAAGTAAAATAAAACTTCAAATGGAGAAATTGTTTATTTATACAAATTACAGCTTAATTCAAAACCTCAACAAGTTGAGAACCACAATCATATTATATACATCAATGGTCTCTCTTTATTAAGCTTGATATGTTTTTTCAAGAAGGCACAATTGCTAAGTAGCTGGGCACACAATTAGATCATTCTCGAAATTCGACTGGGTTGTAAGTATTGGATTCTTGCTAAAACAAGTTAAAAACTCACTGTTGGCATTACGGGGAAATCCTCTTGACATGGTATGTGATGGAAGCCTAAGACGTACCAAAGTACAATATCCTTATTCTCTATAAGTCTCTGTCCCTGCAAAACTCGATTAATATTTACAAATTAATTAGGAACCGAATGAATAAAAGTTATGTTACTCCGTATATACTTTGTGGATGTTATATACTTTCTCCTTACCTTACACTTCATTTGTTCTTTTTTACTTGACCTGTTTCTTTTATCACGTTTGTCAACGCAAAACTTTAACGATTAATAATTTTAATTCTTCATAAGTAAAATTTATAAAAGTTACATATTATGATACTACTTATAGAGACGAATTCAAAAGAGTCTTACATGAATATATTTTTTCTTGCATATTATTAATAAAAAGGTTAAAAGAGAAGTGATAAATAGTGTAAAAGTCAAAGGCGGTCAAGTAAAAAAGAACAACGGAAATAAAATATTAGGCAAGTGTATAAAGACCCGACCCATTAAATAATTGGATGGAACCGACCCGTTTATAAGTGGGGCAAGTTAGGGTTTTTCTTAATAGGCCTCCAATCCATTGAATTGCTCTGTCAATAAGTATTAAAAAAAAAAAAAAAAAAAAACTCTTAATCTTCCTCCCCTCTATTTCTCTCTCTTTCTCTCTATATCTCTCTCTCAGTTTTCCATTGAAGCGCACTCAACATCGCCTTGACGTTCTTCATTACAAATTATTGGTTCTCAGCAGCTTCTGAGGTAAATTGTTGTTTCTTTCAGTAATCATCATATCAATTTCACAATCTAGGGTTTATCTTTCATCTAATTTAATTTAATTTAATTGTCAGTGGACTAAGTGTATGAATCTGAATTAGATATTAAGATTATGAAATATCATAACCAGCGATTATGTTGCTAGAACTTTGATAATTGAATTACACATCCCTATGAATTTAGACCTTGAGCCTGATAAGGTTACTTTGAATCCATTATCAATTTGTTCATGTGTATTTCATTATATCTAATCAATTTTATTTATTTCATTAATTCTGATTCAAACTCTGTTGTTTCATCACTATAACAGCAGGAGCGCTCGAATTATTTATCATGGAAGAAAAGTCGAGGCCTTGTTCTGGTACTAAAAAGTTGATGCCTTGTTTTGATTCTAAAAATTTGAGGCCTTCTAAGGAGCAGAAAAAACAGCTTATTTTAGCCCATCTTTCGGTGTTAGGAAGGAAATCAGAATTTTATGTATTGGATTTGGAAACTGAGAGAATAACAAAAACCCCTGTTGCCGTTTTGTTGAATCAAGGCGCAACCGGTGCTTACACTGTTTTATCAGGATCTAAGATCTATGTTATTGGCGGCCATCATTTAGAGAGTAAGATCATTCCTAAGTTGATTGTTGGTGATCACCATATTCACTTG